ACGTATGTTCGAGAGGCTGCATCTGCACTTTTTCTAAAAAAACTCCAATAACTCGAAAACGGTTCATTTTGTATATACGGTATGATACATGGGCTAGAATCTAAATCATGAGAAAAATTAAAAAATGAGGTGAAATACAGGGTGTGCCATTAAAAATAACAAAGATAGAGTAACTTCCGATGAAACCCGAAACATCACCTCAACAATAATATTCCAGTTGAATTCTTACACGAACAAACTCACTCAAACGAATGTTACATAATAACTGCGCGTCAAAAATGGCTTAAACTTTGGTGAGTAAGTGTCAATAGATGAACAACAAAATTCACTAGCTATCCTCTGCTATCTTTATGTCGAGGTTGAAAATTTTTTAGATCACCCTCGTATAACCTTACAATCTAGGGCTGTCACTAGAAAACTAGAATCCATTGATGGATCAAGTTTTTTATAGGAAACATTTTGACTATCAGACTGAGAAGTATACACAATTTTTTTTCGAAATCGGTGGGTGCAACCTATACCTAGGTGTTAGTAACCTAGAGCATCTGGTAACTTCTTTCCCTGAAATAATCTGTCATAGTTGAGTGTCTTATTAACTTTTTATTTGAACCACACCCATGAAAAAGTCCAGTGGAGTCAATCGGAGGTGAGTTATTATCGAGGAACTGTCCAACTGATAACACGCAATGAAGAAGCGCTCCATGTTGTTGAAAAACTACCTCATTTCGCACTAAAGAATCAAGTGCGAAATAACGTTATTAACACTCAGCATAACTAGATTATTCCATTTGACATATTTTTTACCAAAATGAATGGTCCTAAAATATGGTTAGGTAATCAGTGATATTATGGCGCGACTTACTATAGGGGCTTTTCCCACTTAAATTATGTCATCTAACTCAAATTATTTCATCTGTATAGGTATTTACTGCACCTTTTTTATTAACTCAATTATCAAGATTTATATTTCACTTTATACCCTTTACTATTCTTAAATGAAAATTTGAAAAAAATGCTGGGTTGGGCGTAAAGTCAGCTCGAATACCTGTTAATTTATATGTATCATCTGGTAGTATCACTTAATTGAATGTTTTTATGAAAATGCAGGGCGCAGCAGCATTATCAACCAATGACCACTTATCACATAGTGGGGTGAGTCATCATTGGGTCGGAGAATCATGTGCAAAATAACCTGTTTTCATAGTCATATCAACTAACTCCATCAGGTTGGCTCGTTTTAACTGGAATACATTGTTTGTCTGATTGGTTTTGTTCACTTGAAATATTTGTTTTGATAATTTGTTTGATGAAAAATCAGCTTCTAGAAATAGAAGGTGACTAGTTTTATATCTCTATTATTGATGTATGTTTTCAAATTCACAAATGTTGATAAAATATTCTGAATATTCGGTATTTCATAACAATCATATCTACTACATAAATACACATCAAAATAATATCAGATATTACTCAATAATAATAATCCACATAAATTATGATACCATTATTTCATCAATACAGTAATAAACAAGCATGGATAGGAACAATTATTTTGGATTTGAATACAATGCTGTTCAGTTTCAACAGAATGGGTAATGTGTTTTTTTTGGGAGATTATCCAAAATTTTCGGAACTCTAGAAAATATGTAATTAATACTGTAATAATCACTGTAATTAGGAATACATAATAAGTATAAGTCAAAAAATATGCATTGTTTGGATTTCAATTCAGTTGAAATGTTATCCACAAAAAAAAATGTCACAAAACTTTCTTTCGAAATTTTTTCCTAATTGAATGATCCTTCAAATAGTGATGAGCATAATCAAATTATTTTTTTAATCGAATTATTAGTTATCGAATTGTTTGCATAATCAAATCATCATTCGAATTATAAATCACTCGCAATGCAAATAGACATCGATAATACAGTACTTCTTCAGTATTTGAATGTACTTCATTAGATTAAACTGTGATTCTCACTGTAAACCAAGAACATTGTTTTATTTCATTTCTATATATTGAGAATTCATTTCGAATTTGTGCCAACAATCCTCAATTGGCTTCGGTATTAGGTGTATTCAGTTGATATTATACGGTAGTCGAGCGGTTCGGCGTGGGTGCTTTGTTCACTCAATAAATCGGCCGATGTGTGAGTCGATGGTTCAAGCCCCTGGTTGAACGCCCGTGTTGATAATCACACGTTAAAAGGTATGGCCGCATTAGTCCTTTGCTCGCACAAGTTTTGACTTCTGAGGGTGTCGTTCGTAGGGCTGCGATATCTGGTTAACGGAAAAAACATACAGATTGGGTCATTCCTGTCAAAAGTTATTCACTCTTCTGCTCGATCAAATGACATCGCGAAGTGCCAACAAATGACAGTATATAACAGTTGTGTTTCTGGTACAAACAATCGAGAAAAGCTCTATGTTTATGTATGAATTCTGTACTACAAATTGAATGATGTCAAATTAACTCAAAATATGGTCAAATACGTCTGTATGACGCAACGAGCATCACTACCTTCAAATTGAAAAATAATTTGAATCATTCTAATTAAATTCATTTCATTCAATTTACATGAATAAACCAGAACAGAGTTATTTCTTGGCCTATCCAGGATTTAATTTTTCAAAATGAATTTTTTATTACAAGTCATATTCCTATAAAAAAATAATGATATTTGGAAAATACTCATAACGTCATAAATAATAATTATTACTTATTTGTTTTCTCAGGAATCAAAGATAAAAAATTCAACAAGACAGATGAAAGAATGAAAATTTAATGTCTGTGGTTTTTTCTTTCTTGATTGAATCAGTTGGGATTTTATATTTGTCAATATTCATTAACATTATGGTACCAATCATAAATTCAAATTAACGTTTCAAAGTCAGTAGTGTATTACTTTATCAATACATTACGTCATAAGTTGATCATTTTCGGAGGTGAAGCTCCCCAACCACCTTACAAAATATGATTTCATCAATTTTTTTACAATAAAAAGATATATTTTGATGAAAAAATTGAAATCTCATATTTGTTGGGTTCTTCACAACCGTAAACGTCACTTCGAGTTACAGAATATTATGTATAAGGAAACATATACTCATATTTCTTCGCAGTCATTTCATTACTTATTTTGCATCAAACCCTGGGGAAAACCCGGTCATTAGTACGAGTATATTGTCAAACTTCAATAGGCTATGAAAGTATCCGGAAGCCCTGAGCAACAAGACAATTAGTTCGTAGTTACCTTTGCTGATGTTATCATCAAATTGATTTATGGTGCAGCATATCGTGTTGGTCATCATAATGGTAATGGTGATCGTAAAAGAAGTATGGTTGATGAAAATCCTGATCGATAACCAATTAGTGAAATACTACATAAATTAAATGAGATTGGCAATGTTAGCAATAAGCTGTCTGTTCAAAAAATGAGGTAAAATTTTATTTTTCTTCAAACATATTTATTAGTTTGTCCCAATCAAAGTAGTCCCCTTCAAAAATTATACGGTTTTCTTCTTCTCAATCGTCGTAAAACGCCGTCCTTTCATAAGTCTCTTCAATGATGGGAACAAAAAAAAGTCGCAGGGGGCCAAATCTGGTAAAGACGGTGACTGAGGAATGATTACGGTGTTGTTTTTGGCCAAAACATTCGTAACAAGCAATGACACAGGTGTATTATCGTGATACGAACGCCATGAATTATTTTTCAACAATCCGGACGATTTCTTCGTATAGCTTCTCACAATCGGCGCATTACAAGATGATACTCCTTATTGACCATATGCCTATATGGCAAAACACTTAACACACTGTGTAACGGTAATCAAAGAAAACAGTGAACAAAACCTTGTCATTCGATCAAACTTGGTGTACGGTGAGAGTTCATTCAATTAATATTTTCTTTAATCGTTTATTTTCTTATGACTCGTACCACCCTGTACAGGCCAGTGGTTGCATTTCAGAACACTTGAACCTCTCCCGGTTCATCCCTCTCGAGCGAGCGTTGATCGGTTCAATGTAAATCAGTAAGTTTTAGTTCTGTCATAAACGCCAATAGTTAAACATCTGTTTGTTCTCTTTCATATTCACACACTGTAAAAATATTCCAATAGCTGCTATCGAAGTAAATAGTTAAATGTTGAAGTAGTGTTTTATTAACAAGGTTAACGCTACAAAATTCAGTTTGATCATACAAACAAAACACTTGGCGTGCTTTTTTGGTCTTGGCTCTACTGGGGGTCTTCGATTGGGACGACTGGACTTTAGTTTCGATGTCATAACCATATACCCATGATTCATCACCACATACTTTTGAGCCAATCAGAATCTCCATTGACATCATTGAACAATTCCTGAGCAATGCTCATGCGACGGTTTTATTGGTCAAAATTCATCAATTTTGGAACGAAATTTGCTGCCACGTGCTTCAGGCCCGAAATTTCCGAAAAATTGAATTGCTTGAGCCAACCGATATGCCGACATCCTCAGCAATTTAGTGGTTCGACGATTTTCTGTCGTTTTCTCAACATTTTCATCGGTTGTTAATGTGCTGGAGCATCCCGAACAAGCGTCGTCATTCACATCATCTCGACCTTCTGTCATAAGCCTGTACAGAGTGCGCCAAATTGGACACTTTCAAACGGAAACTCCTGTTTTCAAACCAGATAGATGAAAACTGATGGTCTGATGGTCAAATTTTACGACAATCTCAATGGTGGAAACCATATATCGATAATTATCGTCGTTTCTGAGTAACAGCACGTTTTAGGTTTTTTCATATAGCAGTAAAGACGCTCTTCAATTAGTGGTTTTTGTTCAATTATCAAAGACATTCGCAATGAGGTATGAGAATTATGAAAAATGGGGTATGATAGTCTGTTTTATACAAAGAAGAGTTTTTTTATATAGGTTTGCTCGGTACTATGATAATTATCAACTGATAATTGAATTTTGATCTCTACTAGTTAAAAAAGCATCTCTCGTATGTTTGTAGGACCTGGATCGCAAAATTTTGCTGATACAACATGTTCAGGCTATGGACTCCTCGTTATTCTGTTCAGCTTTTATATGTTGCTGATCGTCAACAAATTGTTATTGCGCCCCTATTTGGTACCATCATTCAAGGAAGATGTTTATAAACCCATCATCCAATTGAGCAGTAAGATCAGGTGAGTAGTTCGTCTGTGGGTATAACCTTCATGAATTTTATATAAAGAATAATACTATTCACATAAACTATCATTTAATTGAGTTATCATTCAAGGAAAATTCATTCAAAATAGAAGAGAAGATAAAATTATCATTTGGTAATCCCTCATCTCTTGTTGAAAATAAGCAATAAGTGAATTCAAATTACAATTCACCGAGCTTCAACGAATTTTGTGAATAGGTATATCTTTAATGAAAAAGATTTAGTAATTTTTCAGAATCTAAACGAGTGGTATCTTAGCGTATCTCATCAAATATCCTCAACTGCAGTAAATGTATGTGAAAAACTCGAATTTCTTTTCGAGAGTTCTTCGTTTATAGATAACTTTTGAACTTTTCAATGACTGATCCTTTCTGTGAATGATTTATTTGTTAAGAGTAGCCATTATGATTTTCTACCATTGGGATGTATGAGGATTGGCTCCATGAGTGAAGTGGTATCACAAATTCTTTTAAATAATCACTTCTCTTCTAGGAGAATGATAACAAAATGGCGAACATATGTCTGTTAAAAAATTTGAATCAATATAAATCAGATTTGGAACACATATGAACAGTTGCAAATGAAAATTATATGCTATATACGAAAACTCTACAGAGTGCATTCCATTTAAAACGAGCCACCCTGGGCCACAGGGGGACACATTTCGACATATTCACATTTAATATTACTTCCCCTATCGCACCCTCAGGGCATGTTACCAGTTTTTTTTCAAATGGATCACCCTATATTTTTCGCATTATCAGATGCTCCATGATGAGCAGATTTCAATGGAGTATAAAACATGTGGTTTGAAGTTTATGGTTTGGGAGCTACGACTTATTTGAGTTGGAAACGAGCCACTCTAATGAATTTCTGTACAATCTGTGGGTTTTTATTCCAAAAAGTCTCATTTTGCCTAGTTAAGTTTGAATTACCTACTAGGTGAAATTACAATTGGTGTTTCTGTTTTTGTAAATTCTTGGAAAGCAATGGTTTAAACGCTTCGAAAACGGATTGAATTAGTGAGTTTGTACTACCAGAATGGAAATAGTGCTAGATCTGCTGTCCATATGTTCAATGATAATCATCCAGGAAGAAATGTACGACATAAATACGTTTCAGAATTATTGAAAAAATTTATGGAAACTGGATCTATTAACAATAAAGAGCATAACCGTTCAGGGCACGTTGGACTAATGGAAATTCGCAATCTCTTACTAAGTTCTCGAGAATCAGAAATCAGTCGTACAAATGTTTTATAGACCCTTCATAGCTACAAATCTCATCCATATAAGATTAGACTAGTTCATGAATTGAACGAAGATGATTTCGATAGACGTATAGAATTTTGTGAAAGTCTCACTGAACGGATCAACTTGCATCACAATTTCTTGTATAAAATGTATGTTTAGTTTGAATGGAGAGGTGAATCGGCAAAATTGTCGATATTGGAGTGATACGAATCCTCATTTATACTGTCAAGTTCATACCCAACGACCTCAAAAACTGAATGATTGGGCAGGACTTATAGGTGACCACACCACAGGAACTTTTTTTATCGATGATAATTTGTCTAGTGATAAATATTTGGATATGTTGGAGAATCGAATTATACCGTGAATCAATAGGGCAATTGAGGAGGATATAAATTTATTCGAAAACGAAATAGTTTTTCAGCAGGATGGTGCACCAGCTAATTATGCATCTCCAGTGCGACAATTTTTGGATAATCTTTTTTCTGGTCGCTGGACTGGAGAAGAGGTCCTACAGAATGACCACTAAGGTCTCCGGATCGCACTCCTGTAGATTTATTTCTATGGGGTCTTCTGAAGTCTAAAGTGTATGAGATAGAATCAATAACATTAGAAGATTTGAGAGAGAATATCATGATGCATTGCAGAGAAATAACTACCGAGATTCTCAACCATGTGATGGCGGCAATAGAAGCTCGTTTGTACCATTGTATGAAAGTTGATGAAAACGTTTTGGAACATTATGTTCTTCCCATTGTCCAGTCTTCAAATTTTGATTCAAGAATTGAAGAAAAATTTCTTTTTTTGATTTATTGCTTTCATAATTGTCTCTAGAACGAATATTTGAAAATGTGGCCTTCTGTATATTCGTCGACCTGTTTTTTTATTTTTTCTTGCAAATCATTGTTTCAAAAGTTATTCAGGGTGGCTCGTTTTCAACTTAAATAATTCGTAGCTCTCGAACTATAAGCTTCAGACCATATTTTTTAAACTTTGTTGAAATCTACTCATCATGGAGTATCTGATAATGCGAAACAATATAGGGTGATCCATTTGAATTGGTGACATGCTGTGAGGGTGCGATAAGGGAAGTAACATCAAATGTGAATATGTCAAAATGTATCATCCTGTATACTATTGGTGACGTGTTTTTTATTTTTCCTGAAAATCATTCTACCGGTGGCTCGTTTTGAATGAAATGCACTGTATATGCACAAAAAGGTTGGCAAATACGCATTTCAGAGGAAAAGAACTCATCAAAGATTTGAATGGAAACCTTCAATCTCAATAATATAAGTAGAATTTGGAAACCCTGGTGTGAAATGAATCTATTGAAGAAACTTTTTCTATACCAGAAGGAAAATACTGTCACTCGATGCGACGAAACAGCATTTTTGTTCTGGTTAGAAAAAACTGTTTGCAATAGATACATACAACAATAGTTGAGCAAATCAGTAATAGCAAGGAGCTATGGTGTGCGTAGTGCCCTGTATGTCATTATCTATTGCATATGTGAAATACAATTTTTCATTTATATTAATACGCAAACATTGGTTCAATGACAGTGATCTGAAAAATTTATCCATAGTAGATTTCAAACAAGAATCAGATCAATAATAACAACAAAGTAATCATTAGTATCGAGAAAAAAAAACTATTGCTTTCGATTAGTTTATGTTCACTTCCAATAAAAAAAATGTTCCACCTTTTTGTTAATAACTCAAGTGATGGATGTACAAGAAGTGGCTTCGCTATTCATACTGCGTTTTCCACACCCTTCAGTGGAGAAGATGCTAATAAGATAATTGATTTCATGTCAAACAAAAACACACACGTATAAATAAAATTTCATCACCATACTCTGCAAAAATATATTTGCTCCTGTTCTTGCCCACATAATTGATTTTCTACTAGTCTTGAAGAAGTTTGGGTTATAATGCTTCAAAAAAGACTTCCCAAGCAATACTAGCAAATACCGATGAATTTCACTGATTATCTTTTTTGAGATGATTGAAAAATTGTTTGCAATGAAAGTGTAAAGAATATTACTAAAGTTTTTTCCCAACACCAAACCGTTATTTGAACACCTCGACACGTGTTTCGATCACCAAGTGATCATCTTCAAGAAGAATTCAAGTTTAATCTTCCTCTTAAAGGAAAATTATAATTATAATTCTCCTATTTTAGTAGTCGTAGTCAACCGGTATACTCAGAAAAACATTATCCTTAGGCTTATCACATACCTTTTAACAAATTTATTTCACATTCTCGTTATCTGCTGGATTAAAATATTGATTAACGTGTAACAAATCATTTGATTTCAAGGTAATTATAAAATAATTAGGTGTATCGTTATCTTATTCCAAAAAGAGTCATTGTTTTGATATCTATTCATTTCAAGCTTAGCTGAATGATTGATTTTAATACTTGAAATTACGTATATAAGTCTATTGAAAAAATTATAAATGCTACAAAAATATATACACTCATAGAAGCCAAAATCACACAATTACAAAGAATACTTCTGAATGAAGATTCACATTCCTTTTTCGAAAGTGAATGATAATTTTGCATAGATAATATGTCATGACTCATGCCCCACAGATTGAAGACACATTGACGACAAAAGCAATCATTTTCATGAAATTGTATTCGACTTGCAATGTTTATAATAATAATAATAATAATAATAATAATAGGGCTGAAGTCGGAAACTGAGGGGTTCATCATGGCTTGCCAGGATGGTGTCTTCAACACCTTAGTCTACCGCAGTCGCGTGATGGGTATAGAGGTTCCTGACACAAGGTGCAGGGCCTGCCGCGAGGCGCCCGAGACCCT